AAGGTCGCTTCCACTGTTTTTTGTTGAAAAGCTCGATATATTTAGAATAATGTTATGCTCCAGGCAACGTTATGGGCAGGGCGGATGTAATAATAATCCCAGAGCACCTCATAATCGGCAAAATTGACTCAATAACTAGAGTCCTTCACTTTTATAAAGAATAGGAACAGTGCGTTCGGGGCGAAGTCGTCAGACGTTTTTTCGCGCTTTATGAGTTTAGTTCGATAAAGGCTTTATGGGCTTAGTCCCTTCTATTATGTGAAGAGTCATACATTTATCCAACATAATCTCATGAGAGGACATTCTAGTCGACGCACCCTATCTCCGAGAACACATTAGGCGGGCCTGCTGTGACATTATTGCGTCTGTTGAGTCTATGGCATGAAACAGCTCTTACGACGCTAAAGTCTCTTCAACGAACGTCTCTCTTTTGTGTGCATGGATATTGAAACTAATCAATCCTTTTAATTTTGCGTTCCGCATAGCACAGCATATGCGCAGTCAGTTGTTTGGTGTAGAAAAGGTCGACTTTTTTTGCTTTACGTACGTTATCTAGTTAAAGTTTCTCCTTCCATCGCGAAAATGCGTTGGATAAATAAATATGCAATTTTCTTGGGCACTCTGTCTCACTTTTTCTGTGTAAGTCATTTTTAACTCAATCCACTGAGTAAACAACAATAGCGCTTCCAATATAAACGAATCCGTTTGAGAGAACTGGCGACTGAATCTATCAAAAAATAAACTTACTGTTTTGCCCTCTACTCTTAGTAAGCTACTGTGGTGGTTTCTGTTGGGTGCCATGCCAGCTAATGCAAATGACGCACATTTGAGGACGTCCGTTTTACTACAGAAGAATCCTACTGCCTTGACGCAGTAGACCCCATAGTTTTGGAACTTTTACGAACGATTTCCGCAGCTCCAGATTCTGTCGTGCACACTGTTATACTTTCGGTACTGATGCATTTCACGGCTAGAAGTAAAAAAGTGAGTTCCAGGAAGCAGTTCACCAAAAAAAACAACAAGCTAAACTTTCTTGATGTCCTTGTTTTTCACAAAGATGTGGGTGGTCTAAAAGCCAAAGGGTTAGGGAAAGCGGATAATACGATGCAAGTACTGAACTTCAACAGCAACCATTCATTCAGTCTCAAACGCAGCTGCGTAGAGGCACTATACCGACGTGTTGAGACATATTGTAGTGAAACGGCAGACAAAGTTGCTGAATTATGATGTCTTTGAAAGGTACTGATAGTGAATGGGTACGCGCGCGCAACTTTGTCAACCAGTGCATACACAAACCAGACGAGACACCAAATCTAACCGGTCCCCTACATTTTGGCAAGCTCTTCCCTATGTGAAGAATGCTTCAAAAACTGTCGGCCTCCTTCTCACTACACTTCGAGTTTGGATTACTCACAGGCCCAAAGCAACGATAAGGCGTCAGCTCACGAGGCACACTGTCATGGCAGAAAATGTCGCAGTTGCGAACGAAGAAACTGGGAGACTGTTCTAGACGCGAGTGACTGAGCATGTAGCAGCAGCATTGAAGAGAAGTGACGCTAGCTTTCAGGCTTTCGTGGCTTATTCGGCGGGATCCAGCGATATTTTCTTTCAGTTTTACGGCGCCAAAATCCTCGCAACCGCGAGCTGCTAGAGTCATGGGTTCCAGCCCTCCAGTCCATCAACAAGCGCAATGAACTCCCGGTCCCATATTATGTGCTGAGAATTTGCCTGGACAAGGGAATCCGCCGCGTGGAGAGGGTGCGAGCGACCATCACCTCCCGTGACAGTGAGCCGAATTGTCTAGAAGTGATCACGCTGACATCCAACACAGATAATGAAATCGTGGCCATGAACGACTCGAACGCGGACTAACAAACCATCATCACATCAGTAGTAATCGGGAGAGATGCTAATTATGCTACGCATGCACTCACAGGGCAAAAGCATATTTTAAGTGCTGCGCCTCCACGCCCTTACCTGTGATTTTCTGTGATGAGGGGTTCGAGTGAGAATAAAATGCGTCAGGTCAACCTATTTCTTGCATCAGTATTCACATCTTCTGCTGAATCGACCAAATTTACTTACACAAGCGCACAAGCCCCCATAGGTTGTGGGTAATATTTTAGCGAACACCAGATACCGTTATTTCCAACTCAAACTTTGTCAGGCAAGAATCATGTTTTGTTCTTGTATGCTCACGTTTGGATTATCGTTTGGTCTAAGTTTGTCCGGGTACGAGAAACAAATTCAGAAAAAGAGCTTTCAGCGATGAAGTTGTCGTCAAAACCGGCCAACCCGGCAACTGCCGAGGGGACGGGTTTAGGACTTGAGCATTTGCAATACCTTTGACAAAATGAGATCGCATTTTGTAACCTCGTTTCATTGATATCTGTTGATGAACTGTTTCCTTTGGAAGAAAGGCGAATTCCTAAGGTTGATGTCTTAGAAGGTTGCCAATAACTTTTATCTCTTACCTTTAAGGAAACGAAAACGCTACTTTATGTGGCTTCGGTCATAAACCTTGCGCATATGAAATCCATTTGCGTAAGGCCTGATTGTTCACTAAGGCACGCAGGGGGCAGGACCAAATGCATACTTAGCTACTGCACCCACACCCATTTCCATTTGTGTTATGATTTTGTGTGATCACCTGCGTCGCCAATTGTTATTTCCCCCAGTTGCATATGTGGAATAGAAGAGAGAACAGTTTACTCTAACAGTCTCTGTGTACGTCGGCTTCCCCGCGTGTG